AAAATCGTTTCGAGGTCAGTAAACACAACCAGAATTCATACATAAGGCACACGGGATTATAAGGGGCACTGTCGATTTTCAGAAAAATCAAAGGATTTATTTTAAATGTGCCGTATTTTCCACAACAGACGGTAATAACGACGGCCTGCTAGCATGCTCTACCAAAAATAGTGCTTTGTTGTATATCTGACAGACGAAAGCTAAACCAGTTCCACACCACTGAAGTTGCAGCACTTTTACAAACCAGTTCTGTTTCATCCGTTTCATTCAATGATTTGCTTTCGCCGCCATGCTTTTTCCACCCTGTGCGTATGAAAACAAAGGCACTGTGCACACGCGTTTTACCCATATTCTATCGTGATATTTAATTTTTCTATCGTTGCCCAACATTATACCGGTATTACCGTGAACGGTATGGTATGGCCCAGCCCTACTAGTCAACTATCAAAATAATAGTTTGTGGCAGCCCTACTGTACTGTATGTAGCGGAGATGACAACGTTTACTTTGACTTCAGCAGCGAGCCCTGAGGGCTCTCACGCTCACTTTTTGCGTATAGAATTTCGAAAAAACATCGGTGTCTGGTGTTTTCATGTTTGTTTTTATTTTGTTTTATTTTGCGAGTTGGTTATTAGATGCTGCTTCAGCCAGAGAATCCCCTGCCGCCCCTCCCTCTCCTTCCTATGCCGCAACAGCAGGCGCACCTCGCAAACAGAGGGGGCCCTTACTCCCAGCAAATGGGCGATAGAAAACCGATCGGTGCCTATGCCATTCCCACTATGCGCTGGCATGATGTCGGGGCAACATGAGCCGATGCCGCCCCGGGCAACCGCCCGTGTCGCCCTTATCAAAAACCGCTACTGGCTATGGCAGTCCATTCTCCCTGCAGCACGGACTACATGCCCATGAGGCTACATTCTTTAGGCCACATGAAATATTTTTTAAATAACGATTTATAGAAATATTTGTTCACATCATAATGCGGGCCGCAAGTAGAGGTGGCATGGGCCGCAAGATTGAGACACAGGCATTAGAGCCTCTTAATGCATGTTTTGTTTGGGTTTCCACTAGAGCTGGACCAATCCGATATTACTATTGGTATTGGTCCGATACTGACCTAAATTACTGGATCAGATATATCGTAGAGAAATAAAAAATGTAATCTGATCCATTGAATATCACAAAAGCACCTCAGAAAACTTGCGACATGGCGTAACTCAGCTCATAACCTTAGCACGTCAGAGCAGTATGGCTCGCGTGCGAGACCTGTCGGCGGTCTGGTTGAGTATTTGTAGCCTCGCTACCAACCTGGCATTTCATCTCTGAGAAAGTTATTCCAGAGAGAAGTAAAGCAAGTGTGTAAGTTCATCTCTGAATATTTGTAAAGCATTTCCACATTAAGCTTAACAACCGATATATGGAGCGACTGCCTCTTCTCCCTCCCTCTCCTGCTCATGAAACTGATTAATGATCAGCTGATTCTGTCCTGAGTCTCTCTGTTGTTTGTTTATCGCCCACCTCGCGCCAGAAAGGGGAAACCAGCGGCTGAACAACAGCAGCACGTTTAAGCTTGAGAAGCTGTTGTTAGAATTTATTTAATATTACTTTCTACAAAAGGATCCTTTTTTTCTATGCAGCTGACGGCTACAGGGGCAGGTCTAGAAAAGTTTAGCCAGGGGGCCAGGTAGGGTATTAACAGGGCAAATGGAGGTACAAAGACATACTTTTCTTTCTTGTTCTCATTTAAAATGTCTAGCATTTAATAAATAATTATCTGAATCTTACAACCAAAGTTTTAATCTGATGTAAATGTATAGAAGTCCATTACTGTATATAGTAACCATTAAGTCTAATATACCCTAGTAAGCTATAGTACTTTTGGGACAATACAATGAGTGCAGTCTGCAATTCTGTCGAAGAAAGATTTTTAATCTATTTAATTATTGTAGAAAAATAATTTATTTCTGTACATTTATTATTATTTTTTACATGTGCATTAAATTAAAGTTGATTACGTCAATTAAGCATCACAAGGGTGGGGGGTGGTTCCCTATTATTTATTTTTATTTTTTCTGGGCGTTGGCAACCCTATTAGTTAGGTAGTTTAATATTTCTGCTAAGTACTCTTTAAAACAGCAGAATAGGAAGGATGGAGCAGGTTTAAGGTTATTAGCTTGATGAGTGTTGCTGAACTATGAAACATTTTGGGTGCAGTGTATTTTTTTAAACACCGGTATAGCAGAATAGCTTTGGTGTTTGTTTTTTGTTTGTTTGTTTTCATCTTATAGACGATGCAGCAAGATATTTAAAAAAGTTTTATTAATTAAAAATTACACTATATCGGATTCATATTGGTATCGGTAGAGATCCAAATTTATGATATCGGTATCTGACATAAAAAAAGTGGTATCGTGCCATCTCTAGTTTCCACTGGCGTGGAATTGCTAAAAATAGAGAGGGCATAGTCTAACATATGAAACAGGAAAAGACCGCTGTGTAATCTCTTTATTTCAACAAAGTAACTGTATTCTAAACACCACCTTTTTAAACGGTAACTGTAACGGAATACAGTTACGTATTTAAAATACAAAATATGAGTAACACTGGTAAATGTGTTAGTGTTACTGTTACTCCCAACACTAAATATAATGTAGCTTATGTATTTATTTTCTTCTGTCTGTTTTGTTTTATGCTTCAGTGTCAATTCCTACAGAAGTAAAATTGCATGATCTCCACTACTTTCTGAGTTTTGTTGATCACTTTCACATCACTATGAATGGTGGGACAATATCTGTCCTTTCATAAAGGATGTCCCATGTATCCTGTGCTTTTAGATACATAGGACCATCCTGGGACTAAGATTATTCTGATTGGCTTCAGTAGAAGTGAACAGCTGAGCTTTAACCCTTTTAACCTCTCTGCTATGTGTTGTTTCCTCTTTCAGACCAGAAAATCATCACAGCTGAGTCTGGACAGAACATCACTCTGACATGTCAAGCTCCAAACAACAACATCATAGTTTTAGAGTGGAGCAGAGCTGACCTGGGAAGACAATATGTCTTTTTGCACCGGGATGGTCTGTTTGTTCCCGATGACCAGCATCCATCTTTTAAGAACCGGGTTAATCTGCAGGACAGACAGATGAAGGATGGAGACGTGTCTTTGATTCTGAACAATGTGACGACTGCTGATAGTGGTACATACGCGTGTCGTGCCGTCATGGGAGGAATCAAACGCAGGAAGAGAGCCATTTTAAAGACTGACCCCATCAGCATCGTCTCCCTGAGAGTTGTTGATCCTCCAGGTGAGTGAGTAGAGTTGAGTGTGTGTGTGATCAGAGGTGAAGCTGCTTCCTGGTTGTTGATGTTTGTTTGTAAAGATGTTGTTGATGAGACTTTGTAGAAAGCAGCTGGTCTGAGTGATGTGATCAGAGTGCAGTAGATAATGTCTGACAGCAGTTTGAAGAGGAAATGGATTCTGTTCCGTTCTTCACTCATCACCTACCTGACAGCTGACACCTCACACCTGTTTCTCACCTGCAGGTCAGCCTGGAGGAGACACAGAGGATGGAGGAGAGAAGAGTGGATCTGTTGGACTGATCGTTGGTCTCTCAGTTTCTGCTGTGCTTGTTGTTGTTGTTGGTGGTGGTTTTTTGATCTACAGAATACAGAACCCTGCTTCTGGGTTCATACCAGCCTCCAGTTAGACTTGAGCCTATTTAACACGTTTCAGCTTTTTCCACCTGATCTTAGTTTCTTGCTGCTGTTCCAATTTCTCATAGTGGACACTGAGCATTCAGAGTTAAGACAGATGACAATGTACTGAAGTGAATGTCCATGGCATTCAAAATTTGGTTTTTACGGTGTTTGTGAAATACTTCAACATCTTTTGACTCATTAAAGAAATTAAACTAAACATTTCTTTATCCCAAAAGAAAACTTGCAAAACATTGAAAATTAGCCTAGCAAACATTTTTGGGGGGAATGTTTGTAAATTTATAAATGGAATTTATTTCAGTGTCTGAAAAACAATCTAAAGTGAAAGTTGTGCCTTTAGTTTCTCACTGTCTGCTCAATGACCTCCACGAACACCAGCTGGAAGTCATCTTATTGTTTTTTAAGGGGAACTTGTAAAGATGAAGTTTATTATTATTCTTTTAAGAAAACATGAACAAAAACTGTTACAAACTGCAAACATGGCCTGTTTATGTACTGAACTGAGACTAGCTAGCTAGTTCATGACTGTTGCCTCCTGCTAAGCCTCTCTGACATTTTTAAAGTTAAAGTTGCAAATGAAATCAACAAATCAAAGTTGCAATGTGGAGCTTTTATTTATTTCTGTGCGACCACTGCCACACAGAAATGGGTGACATTCCTTTATTCCTCTATAAATGAAGAAAAAAGAACCAGGAGGCTCATCAACAATTTTGAAAGAGATTATTAAATTATTGTAATATTTCTGTGAGGTTTTTTTATTATTGTTTTTACTAAAGATAAAGTGTGTTGAGAATAATGTTTCATGGTGCCTTATGAATAAAACCCAAGTGGAACTGAATAATCTGAGCTAGAATCAAAGTAAACTCTCGAATGATAACAAGGGAGAAGACTATGAGCCAAATTATTATCTTCCAACTCTTCCTTTTTTTCTACCTGTCACAAATTCATTTTCAAAGGCGAATACAAAGAAGAACAGGACAGGAGTAAAATCATCTGCAGAAAACATAAAATCATCTTAGCCTTTTCAGAAGTGCCAGTTTATTTAAAACAATCCATAGAGAGCCGAGAGAGCTTCTCTTGGTCGCCCCCTCAGGGCTGTGATTGTGTTCGAGCCACTGAGACGACTCAATACAAAGGTGTGTGTGTGTTACTTTTATGTTGCACCAGAAATCAAAGATGGGGAGGAGAGGAAAAGGATGGCAGACTGTTGTGAACAAACCCCTCTGTCAAAACCTTCAGAAATAAATAGCCTTTGATTTGAAGCCACTGTACAATTCAGTAATTATTTTTTATCAGAAAACCAAAAGATGACATTATTGGACCGCTATTTATAACTTGGAATAAGACTGTTACCTTTTGTCATTTATATATACACAGAGGCAGTATTTTACTAAAAATTTGTATTTTGGATCTTTGTGCCAAAAACCTGGAACCAGCACAACACCACAAAACTGCTATATGAGCCCAAAGATGGAAGCACGAATGTCGGAGGAGCTACCCAGTAAAATTCAATGACCGGCCGATATAACTTTGCATGCCATTCTCCAAATTCTCCCAGTAATGCTTTGAAATGATCATTTCTCAAACCTGTTGGATGTAGGCTGGGTCCTCTGCAACACTGCGAATCTGTGATAAGCAGATGTGTGCGAGTGAGAGCATTCTGGTTGAGCAATGTTTGGCAATGTCATACCTGGACCATGTATATGTGTCATGTCAAATGTTGTCTGATGTAAAAATGCATTAATAAAATTAAAGCTGTATTGTTTTTATTATCTATTGTCTTCTTTTCTCGTTGTTTCCTCATGAGTTCAATTTAATTTCCTGTCAGTGGAGCAAAAGTTTATTAGAACAACCTCATTTTAGTTAATGTCGCTCTCTACCGCACATACATCCCAATTTGAGCTTAGATGAGTTGGGGTTGTTCTCTAAGTGCTGCCCAATATCCTGTGTGAATACCCCTCTAGATATAACTTCTTTAACAAGTGTCTACTCTGCACAGAGAGATTTGAGGTTGCAGCCACACTTCCACTTTGGATGTTTCAGCTTCTAATGCTCCCAATACTACTGGGACCCCTTTGAACTTTATTCTCAACATAGTCTATAGTTGATTATTTTTACTTGACCTTTGGGTCTCAGTGAAATTACCTATATGAACATATTCTCATTTACAAGAGACCTGTTTCAGGCAGGATTATAAAGTTCCTTCATCCTCCATCTTCTAGTGCTCTACCTGTTAATGTTGGTTGGGATTGCTCTCCTCCTCATTAAATTTTATTTTGTCCTGCTGGTTAACCAGCAGCTGTTTATCATGGGAACTTAAATTTAGCTGATTAGAGCTAAATTTATAAAACAGACCTAATGGAAGGCCTGTAACAAAGGCAAAAGAACACAAGAATGGCTTTATTAAAAAAAAAATAGGCATATAAAACAGAATCTTAACATCTAAGCATATATAGAAAAAAAATTAAGGGACTATTTCTCTGTACGGAGTTGTTTTTTTTTCCTGATATGACAATGTCCACTGCTAAGTTTCATATGTTCATGTTGAGTCTTGAACCAATTTTTCTTTGCACGAGGTGAGGAGCTTGACCTGCTTGTCCTTTGAAGCAGGATTTTGCCTTATCCGCGTAACTTAAGAATTATCCCGCGGTTTTCTACATTATGAAGGTGGTTCATTACTTACAGGGTAAATCATCACCGTAACCTATGCTGTGAAGCTAGCATATTGGGTTCCAGATTAGAGATTGACAGATATAAAATCACAGCCTGCTGACCTTTCAATTCTCCAGAAAACAGCTTCACCATTCCTGAAGGATCCTCGGATCCTCAGACCCTCTGCAGTGAGAGTGGGAGGGTCTTAAGTGTTTGTGTTTCCCTAAACATAGATTACATAGGACACAACTTTATTCTTATATTTTATTTCCTCTTGTGAAACAGTTTTATTATTCTATAAGCATCTGATCTAAAAACAGTAGACCTACTCTGTATTTGTTGACATCATCTCAGATTTGCATGTAGGCTTAGCTTATTTGAATTCTTTTTTATAGTCAATCTTTACTCTCAAACCCTTAAACCACACGGTGTCTGTAGCTCAAATAATGAACAGGAGGATGTTATGTTCTGAGTTTCAGTTTCAAATCATCTGGAAGTGCCACATGATTCTTTTATTTATGGCATGTTAAAGCACAATATAGATTCTCTGCTCGGGGAACATGTTTTATGTGCAGCCTGTTGAGCCACATTACAGAGTAGAATTAGGTGCAAAAACATTTATACATTTTATAAATCACCAAATGAATGCACGCACACTCCTGTGACATTGCCACACAGTTTGTGCTTCATTCGGTGTATTTAGTAAAGTCAGGCTTAACCGGCTCCTGACAGTTTTATTTTTTATTATTTCAGCTGTTTAAGTGTTTGAGAATAAAGATTCAAGGTACAAATTTGATATGAAATCAGCAAATATAGATGTCCTGTTTTAGGATAAGATATTAATACTTAATAAACAACAATAAAAAGGTGTAAAAATGTTTGCTGCCAACCGAAAAACAATAAATCAAGGAGTAAAGTTGAGTCTCAGAATTTTATATCTAGGAAATGTACAGAAAGCAGGAAGCTTATAGGCTTCTTGTCTTTAGTTCATCACTAGATATAAAACAAAACTAAAGAAAATAAACAGATAAACATCTTTATGGAACAGCAGAACCTATCGCGCTCTGTGGGCCTCTGGATGTCTGGGGCCTGGATCTCTATGCATGCTTCATGCCCCTGGGGAGCAGGGCTATGGCTCCCCATACCCACTATTAAACACTTGGAGAAACAAAAAGTTATGTCTATAACTTCTGTTCCCTGAAGGAGAGCAACATGCACGTGTCATCACACGCCATCTGCCTTAAAGGCATGAATAAAGGTTTCTTCAGCCAGGACACGCGAGGGCATGATATGCCATACTTATGTGTTGTACCAAGTGAATTGACTGAAAGGGAACCTTATGAATATTGGCACTGGCAAACAGACAGGTGTAAAAGCAGATACTCACAGACACACACATTGTTTGGCTGCTGCCTCTAAACATATTGTGTGTTGTTGGTCTTGTGCTGCTCAGTGAGATTCAGTATTTATTATTTACTGTTACCTGTGCTTATGTTGTTTGTTGCTGTAGTTTTCCTGCTGTGCTCTTTTCTTTTTGTTTGTGTTTTGACTATTGTCAAATTTGTACGTTTTGTTTTGTTTTGTTTAGTTAGTGCACTGGCCCTTTAAGGCCAGTGCACTAGTGTCAGAAAGACTCAGACAATCGACTGATTAATGTGATCTACGCTGTGAAAGGTTCATAAAAAGGCATTCCCTGTGAGTATGCATTATTGTTCGGCACTTTTATTGTTTGTTTATGGTTTGTAGACTGTTATTTGGTTAGCATTAGCACTTGGTTACGCAGCTCCTCAAGTAATTATTTTAGTTTGTCACTCATATTCACTGTATTTTGTTGTTACAGTTTCACACCTGCCATATAAAGCAAAGTCTAAACCCACTCTGGCGTCAGTGACTTTTGTGTTGAGGTGTTTAACTCCTGGATAGTAGAAAGTGGTTCTAGGAGGCCAGTACAGTTTGTTTGTTTTTCAGCAGTTGGCGAAGCAGATTTTTAGTGATTTTCTCTCTATCCCTCTTCTCCCCTCTTGTTCTTTCTCTCTCCTTCTGTTTACTTTACTCCCAACTTCTCTTTTCTTCTTATTTCTCTTTCCTGTCCCCGAGTCCTGTCCGTTCTGATTGTAATAACTTGAAATAAGAATAAATAATAAAGCTTGAATAAACTATGACAATCAAGTGGACCAGTAAAGCAAAAGGTCCACTTGTGGAAAAAATGAGAAGAAAAAATAATTAAATGTCGATGTAATTTATTAAAACTGGAAATAAATACTTTATTGCATGTTTTCAATAAAATAAATAGACATTTAATTGTTTATCTATTTATTTATTAATTCCAGTTTCAGTTAATTATCATCATATTTTATTCATTCATTTTGAACTCCTGGACTCTTTTTCTACCTTTTAAAAAAACTTTTTTTTTTTACTTGAGCAAAGAAATTGAATCTGTACTTCAGCTTTTACTTGAGTGTTTTTACTACAAGTATTTCACAAGTATAAATTAAGCTGTTTGGGATTCAGGAGCTTTCATTGATTATTATAAGTTATAATGATTTTTTTTAAATAAAGAAAAATGCGAGAAAAAGAAAGTAAAACATTAAGTTTTGTTTTATTAACCTAACCCTGTCACCATCGAGGGCCTGATGTGGAGATCGTTGAGGACTACCGGTACCTGGGGGTACACTTGGACTGTAAACTGGACTGGACCAAGAACACCAATGCTGTCTTCAAAAAAGGGCAGAGTCGGCTTTTCCTACTGAGGCGACTCAGGTCCTTCAATGTTGGTAGGAAAATGCTGACCATGTTCTATCACTGGGTGTTGGAGAGCGTCGTGTTCTTTGCAGCTGTGTGCTGGGGAAGTGGGGTGAAGACAGCTGATGCCAACAGGCTGAACAAACTGATTAAAAAGGCTGGTTCTGTCCTGGGTGTCAGACTGGAGAACCTGGAGGAGGTGTCTGAGAGGAGGATGCTAAAAATGCTTCTTTCTATCATGGACAACCCCTGTCACCCCATGCATGCCCCCATGGTGGACCAGCGAAGCAAACACAGCAAAAGACTCACTGCCCCAGAATGCAGAACTGACCGCCACAGCAAATCCTTTGTGCTGGTGGCAATAAGACTGTTTAACTCTTCCTCACTCTGTAGGTGATTTTCCTGAGACTATTACCAATGTTATTCTGTTCCCTTTCAGACCGTGCAATATCACCCAACAGTACCTTATTGAATATTCAATATTTATTTCATCCCCCCATCATACGCTGCTACTCCCTTTATTCTATTGTACAATACTATGTCACTTTCTAGAATCGCCTGCACTGATAGTTATTTATTCTCCAGGATACAGTCATTTATATTACTTCGTTAGAGTTATTGATACTATTTCTTGCACTATCCTACTGCTGTATTGTACTGTATACTACTATTCTTATTGTATATATTGTATATATCTGTTCCTCTGGCTCTCCTGCTGCTTTGAGCATGTACATGACAAAAGAATTTCCCTCGGGATATTATTCTTATTCTTATAAGAATGAAGTTCGTGTGTGTGAGGGGGGTGCTTTCAGTTGGGAAAATATCTGTGATTGTAATCACTGAAGATAATTTAATTACTTATAATGAAGATTTGATGATGATTTAATAATGTAATCCATCTGAACCACACAATGTACACAATGTATGTGTGTATCTGAAGGAATAATAAGAAGTTGTAATGTAACACACACGTGTCATGAGGGCAGATTTCCATTCATGGGGCCATCTGCTGCATTTGTTCATGTGATATTACTCAGCCAGAGGAAAAGAGATTCCTATGCCTTTGTTTTCCCTCAACAGTATGTGGTCTTTCTGTCATTCACACACAGAAACTAATAGTTAAATAAACAAAATTAAACTTAGTAAACCCATACTGGCACTCAGCAATACCAAACAAAAAATCTAAACTTGCACAAGTAAATCCACCTTAGAAGCCACCTGAAATGAAATGATGTGTTACATTCTACACTGCTACGCTTGTGCAGGTTTGGCCTCCAGGATGAATCCATGGTCAAGAAAACTGTAAGGGGACTTG